AGAGAGAGAGAGAGAGAGAGAGAGAGAGAGAGAGAGAGAGAGAGAGAAAGAGAAGGTGAGCAACAGAGAGCACCTTGAATGAATCAAATTTGCACGGTAACAAGCTATGATACGATTTTGATATCAACGCATATACTGCCAAACATGAAAGCCGACGTTTTGCGTTCGCTTGACTTATTTTTGTTTGTAAGTGTGTATTACACTTTTTTTTGTCTTTATTCTGCTAACATTCGTTGTTCTGTTGCTTCCACAAACATGTGGATATTTATGAGCGCGTTTGCTAGATATGAAATCGAAAATACCAAAAATTCACGCCGATCGATACGCACACAAGCATTTTTGTTCAGCTTTTGCATTTTATCAAAGAAGAAGAAAAAAACACGCGTGTGTATGTTCGTCGTATTCCGCGTTGATGGTTCTGACTGACATCCGTACATCCATAGGTGATTCAGCCCATGTGTATGTGTCGAAATAAAGTTTATCAGAAGAAGAAGAAATAAAAGCGAAACTGTTCTTCGGCGCGAATGAAAAAAGAAACACATAAATTATTGTCTCATCATTTGAAATTTTCGTACATATTAGTTTCGATGAGTCTTCTGCTTATGTACACACATGTGTGTATACCGTGTGAGGTATGATTGAGTTGAAGAACATGGAAACCCAAAATCGTCACCGTACTCAAATCTTAACTGGTTAGCAATTAAAAACAAGTCCTTGGCCATTTTTTTTTAAATATTATACACAACAATCATTTATATAATATCATCGTCGATCGTGTATGGTTTTTTTTTTCTTTTCCCTGTGTGTGTGTGTGTGTGTGTTGGTTTGTGGTATTGCTTGTGATTGTGTGTTTTCTCTGCTAGTTTTAGTTACGTTTCTTTTTCGTTTGTGTATGTTAGTCTTTTATTTCGTGTTTCTTGTCACACTTGTGGATTGAGATTTCGAAAGAATCAAATCGCTGCTCTGTGGTTCCATATTAACAAGAAATAATGAACATGTTTCCGTTTCTTGGATACTTTAACAAAAAAAAACAATAACAACTGCGAACATATCAATCGCCAGCACACAAAACACACACATTTATGAACACATATAGCCATAAATAGCGAACAATTGGTTTCAACATTCTGCATCAATGGACAAATGATCCGAAATCAATCAATTTTCCCTGAATGAAAAAGCTGTTATCTTTATCCATTTCTGTGCAATGAACAGACTATATGATATTGATTGAAGCGATTGCAAGTTAAGTTGATACCAATTTCAAATTTTACCTGTTGAATTGTGCATATGCAAATGTTTGTATGTATCGTTGTTGCCACA